CCGCCAGTGTCACCGGTTCAAAGTTCCATTGTGAAAGCACCAAAATTATTGCATTACTGTGATCGGCGATCGCCACTCGAGGTGTTCGAATAGGAAACAGTCGGAAAACCACTCGACGCCCATTACTTCTTTTATATATATATATATATATATATATATATAATGCGGTAATGCTTGTTTGTAGTATACTTACATATGATATAAATTGGCCCATAACTCATCTGGCGACATTGTAACCCGGGGAGACGTGCGGCGGTCTAAAAACGGTTTTAAAAACCACTGCTCAATCCGAGTGCCGGCAATAAATCAACGCGGCTTGCTATACTACATACTACTGCCATTACTACTTACCCGAGATTACTGGGCGATATATGTATACCAGATGCTCGGCGTCAAGAACCAATTAAAAAAAAAGGACAAAATAAAAAAAAAAAACCCATAGTAATTCAAACGGATTATTTTCGTATGCGCATTGTAATGTGTCAGGCGTTTTTCTCGCTGTGTGCAACTCGGAAAGAACCTGAGATACAATATTGTACTTGTGTAAAAAGTATACGGTTGTTGAGATTTCGAAAACAAAATTATCTCTCGAGCGATATTTTGCCGTTAAATAATTAAATACCTTCAAGTATATGAGAGCGGCCATACAACAATAAGGTGAATTTCACAGCAGTTTGGCGCTCAGGAATTATTCTTACTGAACCTGCTGTATTATGTGTGCTCGCCTGTATACTTGGACCTTTGTGTGTATATAAACAGTTTTTACTTAAGCGAGTACCGTTACGAGGGAAAACGGATATTAGGTAAGGAGGAGGGCGGAATATTCGGCATTCTCCGGAGCAGTAAAAACAGGCGCTTAACAAAAACTTAAATATAAATACAGTCTTGTGTATTCGGGAACCGTCGTTGTTGTTATTTATTTATTTATTTTCAGTTTTTATTTTTCATGTTTAAAGAAAATACACTCGATAAAGAAGAATTTCTCGAGCCAAAGTTATTTAGAGGTACGAAGGCCATATACTATAAAATAATATGATGAAAAACTCCACAGAGTTTTAAAGTCGTTCGAACAATGCGGCTGCCTCCCCTCCCCCTCGGTTTTCTACCCACTCCTAGTATACAGTGCAAAAACCCAACGTGTTCTGCAAAAGTTCCAAATATCGCCCCAGGAAACCCCTTCTGTTGTTTTAGCTATATTTAACTGCAAGGTAATCAACACAAAGACAGGCCGATAATAACAGCGGAAAACGTTTTTATTTTTATTTTGGAGAGTTATTTCTTAAAACACTTGGAGACCGCAAAACTGCAAAGTATTTGGATTTTTTTTTTGCTCGACCGTCCAATTTGCACTCAGTTCCCACCGACTCCGTAGTTTTCCGGTATACATCCCCCGTTATTTGTGGATATAAATGTTTGTATATGTACGTGCCGACCCCCTCGGTTGGCGCTCCTGAGACCTATAGAACCTTGCGGGAGGTGTGAAAATTCTTCTCTCGCTCTTTCTCCTTATTATGGCCGGTATATTTTATAATAATAGAAAATTAAACCCCCCTCGGGCTTGTTGAAGCCCTCGTTGAACTTGCGCCGACCCGCATAGAGAGTAGACGTATAGTTTACGCATGTACTTGTGTATTATCGCTACTACTATTATGCTCCTAGAAGTATTTTTCCCCTCTTTCATATATCATTACTCTAGAACAATGATGATGACGGCCGTCGCCATTCCCCTACCCCACCGACCCCGGACCACTCGACGTTCCATTTTACCTCTCGAGCCCATAGAAAACCGTAAGGCCTATACGTTACCACCATGATAAGGGGAAGCCCGTGCAGGGCGTTCCTAGGTCGGATCACCGCCCACGGCCGAGGGAGACGACAGAAAGGATAAGAAGTGTCCGGGCCAAGAGAAACCATGATGGAGAATTTTTTATTTTTTTTGCACGCTCCTCGATTTGTATAAGACATTTGATATGCCCCGGAACTCGTCTATACGACATCTGCGTCCGTCACCAATATAATGTAACCACAGTCTCTCGAGCATGAGCTCTTCTGTTCACAAGCGGCCATTTTGGAAATATATAACATAATACATCATTTGTACAGTACACACGAATAGAAACTGAGCCAATTACATGCGAAAGTTCATAACATTGTAAATTCCGGAAAAAGTCAGCATTTTAATATGAAATGTATTAGGCATGTTTTATATTTAAGTTTGACCTAGGACATTAGACATGTCTAGAATCCTAGCTAAGTTTAAAACAGGAATTTTTAAAGGCTGTAAAAAAAAATATAGTTGTCCAACTAAAAGTGTGGTTAATACAGGAACAATAAATTTCTAGTTGTAATAACTAAATAAATAGTTGAGTCAACAATTTTTTTAATTAAATCAACTATAATTTTAGTTCGACCAACTAAATGTTTATTAGGCCTAATTATATATACTTTCCCCTGTAGTGAATCAAGTAGTTTTATGGGTATCATCAATAAGCAATGATATTAATATTATAACAATCAAGATAATATGTCCCTGTTTCACTTTGTTCGTGTTATTTAACGTGTTGCCCACGGGTTGGCATCGAAGCACTGATAAAATCACATTTAAATTGGTTTTACTTATTAACCGCGATGTACCTACTTATTAGTCGTTTTTCTTTTTGCATCGATAAAAGCAAAAGAACAAAGCTATTGCAATTAAGGTCACGCGTGAGATATGCATATTGACACAACAAAAGCATCCGAAACACGGTTGTTTTAGTGTACACATAATTTATGTATATGAAAGTATATATCTGCAATTCAGTATATTTATGCGAACGGAATAGTTAATTTGAAGCGTCAAAGGGTCAAAGGATGATGGTAAACGATACGGCCGTTTCTTGTGTGTTATTGTATGTATATTGTGTATAATAATAGGATGCTACACAAAGAGTCTATTACACTTTGACCCAATTGACAAGGCCAAAAAAGCTACTACTTAAGTCTCGGGTGCATGTTTCAGTTATATTATAGCCAATACATAATGATAACCCACCGCTGTTCTTTTATTCATCATAATATATTACGCAGAGACACTAATCTGGACTAATGAAAACTATATTATATTTTCCCCCTTAATTCGCATTTTCATATTAATACATATTAATTAATAAATCATAATTTTTGTTAATAAAACAGCATTTGGTTTTGACGTATCTTTCAATGCATCATACACACACAAACGCTCAATTTACACCTATATATATGTATTAAACCGCAGTCCGCAGTAGGGTTTGGAAGCCATATTAGTGGTTGATTTACTATTTAATATATATATATATATACCTATATAGTGTGCTGTGTGCTAGTGGGGCGGTAATGGAATTGGCAGAGCACAACAGGGCCGTTTCGCTCAATTAATAAAAATAATATTATCATCAAACCATCGCACGGTGAAAATCAAAACTCGGCAAAAACTACAAAAATCAATATCCAAGCGGTCTATCTGTACGCAAGCCATACACAGAGAAAATCCACTCCAACCGCAGAGCATAGTATTGCACCTCAATAGGGATTAGTCACTTTTAATAGAATCTTGGATGTGATCTTGTTTACAAATATTCTAATTGTAATTAATAAAAAAACAAATTTCGGTGAGGTTCTTCGTAATTTGAGAGGCGTAAGATCTCTAAAACGTTTCTGGAATAACAAAATTACAATAATTTTTCACTCCTCTTATAAGCGGTAAAAAACAAAGTATTCTAGCATAAACTTAATTACATATTGTGTCAAACTAGTATCGGTTTTAATAAGGATACGCTGACCGGACAAAATATTTGTATTAAACACTACTTCAGTCAATTTAGAAATCATTAGTCTTCATTTTTCTTTAACGTCATCAGAGTCGATTGTCATAATATTGTTAAAAAAAAAATAATAATGATGATACCCACACCACACAATTTGGGGGGGGGGCGGCAATATCCGTAGTCCTATATGTAGCTGGTGTAATTTTGTTTTTTCACAAATGTTGATGACTTTCGTTGTAAACCAATGAGTAGTACCCGACCAGAGTACCAAACGGTACTATTGGCCCCCTCGAACTCCATAAAAAAAATAATAACAAAGGAATTGTTTATGCCGGGAATCGATTAGCTATGACGACCGTGCTAAGACCGATGATGATCACGATGACGGTTTTTACTTTTAAAAAATATTGTTATTATTATTATCTCGCGTACGTGAAACGGCGACGGTACAACCCATCGATGACTTGACGCATTCTCTGGTATAAGTATTATATATGTGAATCTGTATGTGCTATGTAGCCTGTAGGATAGCCCAGCTCTGCGACTTACTCCGTTGTGTGATATTGTGATTATTGTTGTTATTATGGGCTTGCCCGTTTGTAGAAAAAAATAACCGTGTGCCTATATAATGCCCTTGTTTGTTAAGTTTTTTTTTTTTGAGAGAATTCGAACGCGCTTTGCCTAGAAGATCCCTTGAGGGTTTGGCAACAATTGTAAGATGTTTTGGGTTCTTTTTAACTTTTTTGTTTTTACAATATACCGTGGCGATTACTCGACACGTCAAATCCCGGATCTGGATTTCGATCGGAAAGTGTCTATATTAACAATATAATGGTATATCATAATAATAATTATTTAAGTTTGCTAGAAAATCACGAGATACGGACCTCCTGGCGGGGAAGGCGCGCCGCGGGAATCTTTTATATTATTATTATTAAAAACAGTACCTAAATAACATTACACAGATAATAATAATAATAAATAAAAAAATCGTCGGACAAACTTTGTTTGCAAAAAATAAAAAAGAGAAATCGTCCGGCGCGCGCCTGCTGTTGCAAACTTATGTTTTATTATTGTTCTTAACAACCATAATTAATCGACTGTCATCGTCGTCGTGATTTTCGGAAGTTGTTGTACAATACTTATCGCAATTATTATTATTATTATTATTTGCGCATTTGGGTTAATCCGGTTGTTTTGTTTCGTTTACAGATTCCGGATAGACAACACGGATCACATAATCGACGTGAACAAGGGCAACATGCCGTTCGAATACGACCAAGTGAACATCGTGTGTCCTGTGTACGCACCCGGTACACACGAATCCGATGCCGAGAAGTATATCATTTACAACGTGAGTATCATACTATTATCATTCACAACGAAAAAAAACTTGGCGATTTTACTGGCAACAAAGGGTGGCTAGGCCAAAACCCTGCCAGCGTCATCGAAGGTGCCGCGTAGAGGTTAAAAGGAAACGATTGCATAAAACTAATAGCTGGAAGCAAACTAGAAAGAACAAGCAGAGATGAGTTAAAGCATGATTGTCGAGAAAAATAGTGACAATTTTAACTAGAGTAGAAATAAGAGCAGTGGCTGGACGTGGAGGGGAAGTACACGAGTCAGAGTAGAAAAAGAGGAGATTTTGACGGCCAACCTCACTCGGGAATCTGACTAAGAAGAAAACTAATTCAAATAGATGATAATAATCATTTGCTAGATAATACACAAAACTCGTACATACTACAAGTAGTCGATTATCGTATTGTCTCAGAGAGAATATTTGTTAACCTTCTAGTTTAATATTCCTTGAGCTCAACTATTATACATAATTTTTTATTGGATTTACCACGTTCTGGATATTTTTTAATTATACCAACCGGGGCCAATATTTCTGTCGTCAGTACTTTACGCGTTGTGTGTCTGTATTACCAAAGGGCCAAGCTTCTAAGATATAGAGGAACGACCGAGACTCTTCTCTTCTTTTCTGACTCTATTATCATTTATTTATTTATATTTTATTTCCTATGCGGACAATAGACCCATTGTCTGTGGTCGAGGTGACGCTGTTCCAAGACCTTTGACTCGGAATACTTCTTATGAGCGCCATTCGGTATTATACAGACTGTGTAAATTTGGCGTGTGCATTGCAATGCAGTGTGTGTGTATTTGCTTCATACACACACACACACACATATAACTTTTAGCCAGGACCTTTTCAAAACTCGGCTCGGCTAATTGGTAGCTACGGCCATACTCCATTGTATTACCGCACAATACCGATTTACCGCCAGTTTTTGTTTGCCCTGGCATTATTATAATAGTGTACACGAGGCCTCCACTGTCTCTCTATCTAAACGCATAATGATAATATATAAAATATCACAAACTCTATCCGGAATAACGCACCAACAAATAATGATAATAATGTATGTTTTTTAAATCATTCGACCAGCTCATCTTCTCAGCAAACATCGTATTTTATGCATTCCTACTTTAATTTAAATTAATTTTTACCAAGAAAAACATGCCATCTTTGCTCTAGACCGCCATTATTATACTGAACGTTTTACTTCCTCGCCTTCGTCCTGTACAATAGGGGTTGGCTCACCAAGTCGTCTCTCTCTCTCCACAAATCTCTACCTATCGTTATTTCTTTATTTACACTGTATATTTCCGTACATTTTTTATCACCTCCACCAACTCGTTTTTCGGTGTACCTCGATTTCTAAATCCTTCTACAGTGATCTCTCCAAGACTGTTTGACTGTTGTAAGCGCTATTATTTTTTGTGGTTGGGGCTTTTCAAAATTATTTTATTTCTTTACTATTTGTAAACACAAGTGTTGCTCAAATTTTTTCTAGATTGTTTTACTATTCCGCATTCCTAACATCAATTTTTGTATTTGTTTCATTATGTTTAGCGTCAGGTTTTAATATATTTTTTTCGTTTTGGCTTTCAGGTGTCTAAGGAAGAGTACGACATGTGCCGCATTACAAATCCCAATCCTAGGATCATTGCGTACTGCGATAAGCCTTACAAGCTAATGTACGTCACCATAACGTTCCGTTCGTTTACGCCTCAACCCGGTGGACTCGAATTTCAACCAGGACAAGACTACTATTTCATTTGTGAGTATAAAATCTATCTCGACTCAAAACGATTGATGTGCAAATGTATATTATAGTGCTTTATATATGCCTCGGACTCTTTAGAGCATTTTGGTTCTTGGAGGTTTTACTTTTTTGGCCAAAACGATTTTCCCAAATATCGTATACCCAAAACCCGAATTCGGAAAATGATAAACGACTCATCCGTTTTGAACGTTTATCCGCGTCCGGAAAAATAACTTTTATTCGCCATACGGAAACGGCGACGACTGTTGCTATAATAAACGGACGGAAAATCAATAGCGCACCGAGCACAGACCCTTTTCCAATTACACGTTCGGGTACTATATGTATAGAACAATAATAATAATCACAGCTTTATTTGGTAGTTTTTTTTTTTTTGTTATAACTTTGATCGGTTGATGCGTTTCAAACATGTCAAACTGTGCACCGCCACGTCCGTATCGAATACACTTACCAGACCGATCAGCTAGTCGTTGTCCTTGTTCTCCACTAGCACCATATCGTTCCTTTTCTCGCCTCCTTGAATGCACATCAGAAGACTATTTGCACGGTTGTCAATAAAATCACATACCCAACACACCGGAGATGGCAAAATATGTCACAGTGAAAATATGATTCATAGCAAAACCAAACTAGTTATAATATATTCTATCGATGTATGTAGATAAAACCTTAATACATTATACATACAACACTGCACGACAATAGGGTTAAAATAATTGTAATATAAAATTTAACCGTTCCCGCAGTTGTCCTGATAATATTTGCATTGGCAAAATTTAATGACTTTTGCTTTTTTTTATGCTCATTGTGTATTTACTATTTTTAAAAACATTCACTTCTTCGTATCAATGTTTTAATTCTCATTGTAACTGTTCTGCTAGCTTTTCGATTCAAAATAATAGCTGCGCGTTTAATAAGCCATATTAGAACTATTTGACAATTTCCAGAGACTATAACACTTTTTAAACGTTACCATAATGTACCTAGTACTTAAATTTGAATTCCTAATATTGTTGATTTATACGTTTAATAAATAAGTCATTTAAAATAGTAAAACTAGAAGTACTTTAGTTACATACATTTAGAGGTATCAAAAGCTGTTATATTTCTAGTTTATCTAGTTTGTTAGTAATCTAAAACAAACCTTTACTAGCATTTTCTAATAAAAAAAACCATAGGATTTTAGAATTATTAGCATTATACTTTGACATTTAATGTGTTTTTTTAGCGTTTGAATTAAATTCGATAACTTGAGTACTTTAAAATGTTATTAAATCGAGAATTATATGTTAAAAATTGCGGCTATTATAGTAGACTAACCAGTTTTGAAGCCACTAAATTTAAACATCCATATAAATATTTACTAAGTTATTTTTGTAAACATAATTTTGTTAGTATCACTTTAACGATGATAAATATGCACCGCATGTTATGTTGTGTGTTCCTTATAAAGTCATAACAGTGGATCGGTGATTTTTTTATTATTATTTTGATTGGGGCTCATTTAAATAATACATTTTGTATTTTAGTCGCATTTAGTAGTAATTTACGTTTCTTAACCGTGCGACAATCGTGTTACATTTTCTTTGTATCATTTTTTATCAATACTTTTTTTGTTTCTGCGCTTCATTCGTATAGTTACTTCCATCATATGCACTCATCTAAGACAACTTTTTAACATTCTTTTCAACTATTCGACATTGTGTGTTAACAGCGACTTCGTCTAAGGATGACATACACCGCAGAATCGGCGGCCGTTGCTCCACCAACAACATGAAAGTGGTGTTCAAGGTATGCTGCCGGCCGGAGGACCAACAACAGAACAACAACCAGAGTGAGTGTCTTCAAAACTCCTGTTTTGACCAAAAACTGATTCAACTTAAATCTAATTTTGATGTTTTTTTTTCACCCCTTCAGACGTGGCCACCCGACCACCAAACCCGGCTATTACACAACGGCTACCGGCTCCCGTCAACACGCACGTTTATCCTCGCCCCACTTCGGCTTACTCGTCCACAATGTCGCCTTCGCCCAAACTGCCACCGTTCGGCCCGTCCTTGCACAACAAACCGAATCACAAAAAACAATGTAAGTACCATCAGATAAGTGATACATGGTAACATACCCATAATAAAATGGTTTTCAGTGAAATAATTGTTTTTTTATTTTTTTTATTTGCCCAGCCGAATACGACAAACATCCTAATGAAGTGGTCAAAAACGAAGAGCTAACGTTAAACGGTGGTCAACGCGCCGTCACCAGTTCCGCCTTCATCATTCTAGTCTTACTCACCATTGTCCAATGGGTTTCGCGATAAGTCGCTAATTTTAAACACTCTGTACATACCTAAACGGTTTATTATTATTATTATTATTATTATTACTATCATTATTATTATTATTATTTTAAATACTATAAATAATTGTATGTACATACTACTTGAACATTTTTTTTTAATTTTTAAAATAACCCACCACCACCAACCACTACCGCTACTATCGTAATAATAATAATAATCATCCCTTTCCAATAATAATTTAATAATAATATTATATATTATAACACTGTGTTGTGTATTATTATAAACGATTACATTGTTATTATTTGTATAAAAGCTACGATAATTCTCGACTATATACCTATACATCATCTAATACATTATATGTTATAATAATAATAACGAACGTTGTGTTGACAATTAATGTATCGACAGCAAAAACTATTTGACTACTGTGTATTTGTGACTATTGAAATTATAAGAATAATACTATCATCATAATATTATTATATAACATGCGTGTGACGTGCCAAGGGCGACAAAATGACGACGAATCTCAGTGTGTATGATAGTAACAGTCACATTTTCTTTTTTTCTTTTTATTTAAGATAATTAAACAATTATAGTAGTTATTTGCCATAAGCATAGACGACATAAGTCGAGCAATATTTCTTTACCTGTATTACCTACCTACAATTTTTTTTTTTTAATTAACGTTTCCCTTTCTCAGTTTTTCTATCGACCGACATTCAGCGGCTTCTTCTATTTAATTTTCAATCCCCAAAAAATGTGTTCGTTCGGTTCAAATGCCGTCGGACTCATTTCATTCTTTCGACACAACAACAACAATATTTGTCATCGACAAGTTGTGCGGTGTTTCTGGTTTCGAGAATGAAATGTATCCGTCGTCTTAAGTTTGACGACTAGACGGACAGTTAAGTAAACCAAAAAAAAAAAAAAAATTACACACCAGTCCGTCCAGTGGTCAAACAAAACCGCTCACACACACAAAATAATTTCGAGTTAATCTTCTGTCTTCAGTTATAAACATTATGTTATATCTTATTACTGTCAATGTGATTTATTTTATACTACATCTACAAAAAAAAAATAGTCCCGGCGAAATATCACAAAATACAATTTTCTAACTTTTTTTATCTTCTTATTTTTTTTTCATTTTAGACAAACTATTATTTTTTTAAACGAAATTATGGTATTTATTATTTTTTTTTTTAACCTACTTATAATTTAATTTCTGTGATCATTAATTTTTAACGTTAAGCACTTTAATATTAATTTTACATGTGTAAACATTTATTAGTTTCGTATTATAGTTATTATTATATGTAATTAAATGTATACTTATTAATAATCTGTTTAATCGTAAACGGATAATATTACAATAATAATTTTTTACACCATACAGTACCAGTTAACGGGTTTTTTTCTACCGTTGTATTTTTAATATTTGTTTTTTATCATTTTTTTTACATTTTTTAAATAAGCTACTATATGATATGTAAATAGTATCGCTGTTTTGTGGGACAAAATTGAATCATTTGGTTATCTGTTGGTTAAAAAAAAAACAATTACAACTCATATCACTCGAGTACTGTATGATGTAATTATTATTATATTATTTCATTGTAATGTGTATATATTTTCCAATTCTGTATTGTAATCGTCAAACCTGACTTTGTCGATTATAATGTATAATAACATTATCCATATTGTCTCATTAGTCCGTGTAAGCCCTTACTCGCTTGGCTGAGCTTTTTTTTCCTACGTCCCAAAGACAAAATGGAAACGGAATTTCAAACTAATTTAATAATGTTTTCCCAAATTCACTTTGTAGGAAAAAAATAGACATTAACGGATACACTTCGGTTTGACACCTTTCGCTGGTGATAACAATATGTATGTAAATCATTCATTTCATTTAATAATAATACATATTATTATACATTAATATTATAGATATCTTTTATACATAATATATATATACATATTTATATAAGTAAATTATACATAATTCTATTATATAATATATTATTATATTATATATATATATATATATATATATATATATATATATATATATATATATTATAATTTATAATAATCGTTTTTGAACAAAACAAATTATTTTGTATAGTGTATTTTAGGTTTTTTTTATTTTGTTTTTTCTTTCGTACTGTTTCTTTACACGAACGGATGTTGTTTGTCGAAAGCAATTAAAAATCTTTTATGTACAGCCTAGTCGGTGAAATAATTGTTTATTTAATTTTTATACATAATATGCATAATCAAACGTGTTCTAAGCTCTACACCGGCGAACTAATATATTTGTATAATATTCATAACGATAATTGTAATTATTATTATTTAATTTACTCTTTTACATATTACTTAATATACACACATATTTCCCTTTAACCCATTCAGCCACTCACTTCTTCGTTTCAATCAAATTCAATGATCCATTAAGTATAAAAAAAACTATAATTAATGTAGAGTTTGTATTGTTTGTTTATTTTTTTAGAAGTATTTTTTTATGTTTTTCAAAGTTCCTATTTATGTGCAAAAAATTACAAACAAACAATTAAGGAAACGTTAAAATTGGTTTAAAATTATAATCGATAAGAAAACAAAAATCTATTATTTTAACGTGCGGCCGTTCTAGCTTGTCTACGGGCTTACTATATTATCTATTTAAACAATTATTTAAAATATAATTTTTATAAAAAAAAACCAACTTCGACGTTGTGTTCAAAAGTATTAAGTAATGTATTATTATAAATGTAAATTAAAAAAAAAAAAAAACACTGGCTGAATGATTGAATGACAAATGAATTCTTACTAATTAAGCAAACTGACTTTTTTCGTTAAACATTATATTTATACTTAATATTGTATAAATATTTACTGGACATATACATGATAATATTATAATTTATATAGTAATAGTAACGCCATGTGTTGAGTAATCAATTTTTTATTTAATATTATACAATATGATGTGTAATTTTGTTTTGTTTGTGTGTAGTTTCTTAGGATAGAAGAAAGTCCACGTGTGATACGTGTACGTTCTTCGATTTGTATTGCCATATACCCGCTGTATAAAACATTGTCAAATATATTATATATAAATACATAGAAATTTAATTAAAAACCGTGTATTAGCTTAGAATTACCTTTGTATGAATTTAGAACAGGGCACTTAATACTTAGAACTGATGTGTACTCCTATTTGTGCTGTATGTACCAGATAAATATAAGATATGTGAAAATTACCTGGTGTGTTTTTTTTTTTTTTGTCCATACGAATTTATCGTATATACCTTTAGCTGACTTTACAGACACCTAACCTCGGTTCTTAACCTAACCGGATTAGGCTGGGTCAAAAATATATTTTATAATCTCAAAATACCGCACTGTAAATTCAATGTCTCCAAATCAGACATTATTACACTTGTTTATAAAATAATCGTAGCAGTAAATTGTCCACTAGGCATTAAAGGTAGGTTTTTATGGTCTATGGCTACCGATTTTATACTGTATTAGTAGAAATAAATGTCAAAAGCGGGCCACATCCGTGAAGAGGCGCCCCGTTTTGCTTTTATTTGTCTCGGGCCTGTATAGGTATGGTTTTATATTTTATTAAATACTTATGATGAAGAGATGTACTTTAACTATACTTACCGTATGTATATTGCGAATTGTCATAGTATTTCTTAACGTTTCAACGTTTCCGGTAACAAATAAAAAAAAAAAGCTTAACTAAAATTCTAATCGAGTAAGCTAAATTAAAATTAAGCATTGTTAATTACTCATTAAACTTATAGTGTTTTGAAATTTTAAACAAAAATATTGACCTTTGTGTCTTATTATAGCTTACATAAACAAAAAAAAAATGTTTGAATTTTATTATATGCGTAAATCAAAAACGATTTAATATAAAAAATGAATGTAGAAAAAAAGTTACTTCGTGTAATTATTTAAAAATATAATATACAAACATTTCTAGTCTTCAGTGAAATAAAAAAATTAGTAAAAAAGTTTTAATATATTTGATTGTATTCTCTGGTTAAGTCGCAGGTAAAATGACTGACGCGAATGTCCGTGTAGTTAAAAGTCACCTTTGCCATTCGCCACTGTTTGTAGTATAACCGTACAATGTAAGTAAGGTAAATACTTTTGTTTCGTCCTTCCATAAGTAAACTGCAGCTGACGTTTGTGTAGGAACGTTTTCCGGTAAAAATTAAATTACTATACTTTGGCAAAATATATTTCACTTTCAGTTCAAAATGATTTATTACTTTTGTTAAAATAAACAATTTTGTATTTTTAAATCGCACAGTAAAACAATTTAATTACACAACGCTGACGTTCTCAGTTCCAAAAAATCACAGAGTTTACATACTGAGATGTGCACTGTGTCGAGTAATGATAACATTATGTATTCTATACTAAATCACTATAATTATTTATAAAAAAATTGTTAAAAAAGACATTAACACTAAGTTTATGATTCTTCTTTAAAAAAATTGATCTAGTGTTAACGGTTAATATAACCGAACAAATAAAAAAAAATTACATTTAACAATATGTTTGTAATGTAAAAAAGAGACGAATAAGTTATTTTAATTTGCTAATAATGAGACTGGTTGTACACAACTTGTACCATAATGTTCTCCATGACGTGGTCGGCTTCCTTCAGTCTTTTATAATATTTATCCAGCAAATCTGCCAGATTCGAATCATATTTCTTGATCGCATTGACATTGATGTTATAAAATCTGTCGCTATTCGCAATGTAGGCCACTCTAGATCTTTCTTTATCTCTTCTAAGTATATCCAGTTTTTTGCCCTGAAATATTAACGTTGTCTTAGAAAAACAACTCATGTTTATACACGGCACGTGCATTTTCCTATTAAATTAGTGGAAATATTTATATAAAAATAGTTGTACACTATTTACGTTCAATAAAATGTAAAATTTTGATTTATAAAATTGTGTTATACTTGATAGTTGTAAGACAGTATTCCTAAGGACCAAGGCTCCGATTTTAGAGCGTATGATACAATTATACATGTTTTATTAAACATCCATTTTTAGTTTTCAGAAATTCTGGCTCTATAAAATATAAAAATGTGAACTCTGCTAAGACGCAATAAAAATTAAAACTTATAACGTACGGCCTCTCCATACATTCAAAAAAACTTCAATTAAAAAACATAAGATCAGCAATAAGTTAATAGTTCTAAAAATATTTTGTTTGTTTTTAATCGAAAAATAAACATAAAATGTGTGATAAAGATTTTTGTTGTATCGACCAAAATGACGATCCATATGATTATAAAAGTTTTACATAGTGTGAGACAAAGGACAAACCCTAGACCAGAATTTCATAAAGGAAAAATGTTTAAGGAAACACACAAATCAATCCCCCATTTCTTAAAGGAAATCAAAAAGCTACAAACAGTAAATGCCATTAAAATTCAACCGCACTGGAAGACACCAAGTCAATATAAGTATTAAAGCATATGCAATTTAAGTATTATTTGAGTGTTCTAATTGCCTGGAATGATGTTAAAGTATTGTATATTAAGGGGATTGCATGCGGACTGCGGTCCGTTTTGATGTTTTGGACCAAAAAGCAAATTATGTAAATAATTGCCAGTTTAATTGATTTAATTACAAGAAACTGAACATTTCAAATGATAATCGGCTTCCTACATATCATAGTAAAGTAGCTAAACAACACAAATCTTATTACAGAATTGAAATTGGCCCATCGTATGTAGTCGACATTTTGCCTGGCTATTGGCCTAAAATAAATGGCTTTTGTCTTAGAAAAAATAATTTAAATTAAGAATAATACCTTGAAATTTATACAAATTAACCAGTAAATTAATTGACATGGTCGAAATGTGTAATACCACTTTTTCCTTTAAATATTGCCTATATACAACTTATTAAAAACAGACCGCATGAAATTTCCTTAATGAAAAAATAATATGTGATCAATTAAATTGATCGCATCATAGAATAATTTTAGATTTGTCACCAATTGTCGATAAATTACAAATTATTGTCTTATTTGTTTTTTCAATTCAACTGCGACTGTTGATTTTTCAGTACAAAAATAAATAAAATACAAAAAGTCAAGTTAATTTAACCATCCACAGTTGTTAACGTTATAATCGACTATTTGAATTATATTATATTGTATCAACAAACATCAATAATTATTCTCGTTTATCTTAATAGTGGCCGAAATTTTTTTTTTTTAACGCATACTTAAGCAAAAATAATAATTTAAGAGTCTAACTTACTTTGTTATTGAAAAAGTCGTGGGCTTCCGCGTATACTTTGTCGTTTCTTTTTGCGAATCCGTCTATGAGGTCTCTAACGCTGTCGATTTCGTCGGACTTGGGAAAACGGTTGAAGTACTCGAGGACCCGTTGGTGCGCCGATATGCCTCCCTGGTGAAAATAATGCATTTTGTTTGGAAAAATGTCTATAAGGAATATAGGTATTCATTTTTATCCGGTTTCACTTACGGTTGGGACGGCCAACAGCGACACTGCCAGACTTAGGACCAAACATGATTTCATAGCGTTCATAGTGTTGGTTACTGAACGACTCGTCTCGTTAGTCGCGGATAGGCAACTGAGACGGTTTCAAAAAGAAAAATGTGTATTAAATACTCGACGACCAGATAACCTTTCAGACGGTGTTGTTTGTACCTGTTTGCATTAGATAACTTACTATTCTCGGTTCGTTTACAACAAAAAATGTACCTAAATGATAGCAGTACACATTTTGTATGTGCTCGTTAAAGACGGGTGTAAACATGATTAATTTTTGGGAAAACGTGATTTGACACAATGCAAACTTTGTACCGGACTCGTGTAATGGATCTAGTAAACAATTTTATCTGCGCTGTTAGTAGAAGAAAACAACCGGCAATAACAATATGGATTTGTTTTACCATAAAAAACAAGTATGTTTATAACACTAATCATACGTCTTGTTCATATAGTGTACTGACTTAATCGACAATCATTGTCTTGTCTGCAGTGAATAGCTATGGGAAAAAAATTACTAAACATATTGTTACGCAACAAATAGGCTTTAATAAAAAGGAAAAAATTCCAATCACAAATTACCATGTATATAAGATAAGAAAACGTGTTTATACCTAAAATTAGATTTCTTCTAAGCACAAACAAACCATTATGACTAGTCGAATACATTTTTAGATTACACATTTTTTTTCTTTTAAATTAATTTGTTTATTTTATTTTAATAATAATATTGTACCTATTACTTCAATTAAACTCTTAAAAATACGAGTGAGATATCATCTGATATTGCAGTAAGTTCTATGAACTTAGACTAAATATAGCACTCTCCAGTTGAATAAAGAGCAATAACGAAACAAATTTTTAATTTAACAATTGATATTATATTTTAATTTAATAATAGTTGTAGATTTGGCTGATTAGTGCTAAATTTAAGTAATCATACTAATTTAGGTATAAATTTAAATTTAAAGTTTGATTAATTTCACAGGAGACAGAGCAAGCAATTAACAGGCGAATATAATTACATAATAAAAAATCAAGTCCTCAAATGATAAAATTCCTGTGTCTTCACTTATCGACAAATCACATTAGTACGTTTATTGTAGTGGATGTAAACCACCGGTCGAGTGAATAAAATCCTTTTTGTTACCATGTAGATTGTAAAATACAGACTACACAGTATTAAGATTTTCAACAGGTATGACTTGTATTAGGCCTAATTATAATACTAGGTCTTATAATTTATCCAATAATTGGTTTTTTAATCTTTTCATAAACATTTTCTAGAATAAAATTTGCCATGTAATTTTTTAATGATGTCAATAAGTATTGTTATTAATTCTAATAATTTCCAATTCAATACTGCTATACCTATCCAACTTAATTTGATCTATATCCAACAACTATATTTTAAGACAAACACAACGAACTCGGACAACTTAAACCTGAGAAACGTGTTTGTGCCTTGTCGAAGTTCGACAAACTTATGACGAACGTCTAACTTATTTGAAACTGGACCATAAAATATGTACCTACCCGTTTTAGAAAATCTTGTTTGCACAAATTGATCGTTTTCGCCGACACCCTGTACCGAGAATTCCTGGTTAGTGTACATGAAAAAATTGTCTTAGGTAAATGTTTTCCTAATCTCCTAGATTGTTCAATGAAATGCCACCCGGACAGCCACATTCTCCGTCACTTTAGGACTTCAATAATAATCACCACCACTCGAAGGCATTGAAGTGAAGGAATTTCCATAAATATAGATGTGCACATTTTTGACAAATAACTCTCTCCTCTTTCTCACGATATCAATATAGGTAAAACGAGTAATTTTTCTATGTAGATAATTTATAATTTCTAATTTTCTAATTTCTTTCTAATAGATATCTTTTTTTATGTATAATTTTTCTTCAACTTTTATAACCTATACAGACTCTATTTTTTAATAGAATAATATACGTTTTTAATACTAACAGTTGCTAAATGTTCCTTAAAATACTATGATTTAAGTTTTGAAAAAAAAAAACATTTTAATTCTTCATAACATTTACTGATTTATTAGGCATCGAAAGTGACACAGCTTTTTAATTACTTATGTCTTACAGTTAATTTCTATTTGAGGAACTGAATTTTTTTAAAGTTTTTCAATCGAGATTAATACAATATTATCAATGCAATAAGCTAATGACCGTTAATAATATTAAAACTGAAATCAACAATGTATTTCGATCGGCGCATGAAGTGTTAGTATTGAAAAATCCAACTACATCCGTTTTCAAAAGTATTGCGGACTTTGTGTTCCAGAGTACAAATACTAATAATGGAATGAGTTGTTCTCAACCAAAATACGCAGTTGTAGGGGTATCGTAATAGTTATTATCAACTTAAATACTAATTAACTAGATGCAATTATTATTAACTGATAACTCATCTGTGTTTATTTTACCTACCGCATAAATTATAGTGAACTGAAACATTGTGAATACACTAACAAGAAATATTCAGTGTATGTTCATCCTTAAGTATGTTACATAAACTTTAAATCTATGAATGTAGCTGATATATTTAACTACATGTATATGAAATGAATTTTTTTTCTAGCCCTACCCCCCCCCACCCTTTCTATTTCATTTCAAATCCTTGAAATTCAGACTGCTTTTTATTCTACTTTTTATGACTCGTTAATTACCTCTTAGCTCAAAGGAGTATTCCTTAAACCAAATTTCTTTAATAATTCATTCTTCTTAACAGCTTAGCGGACCATGTAGATCCATCGCTTTAATAGTTCATTACTGTTTAATAGTCCAATACAAGTACAAACGTGTTCATAAATTTGTACTCCTGTACTCACTGTTATCAAATGAAAACATAACTATTCGTGTACTTACGTCAGAGTAAAATGATAAAAATCAAAACGCTATCGGGTAAAAAAAAAAAAAAAAATGATTTGATAATATTATATTGCCTACCAACTATTTTGTACATTCAAAAATATTTTTAACACATAATAAACACTTACACGTCTAATGATAGTAATTAATACAAAAAATGATTACAATAATAATAATAAAAGAAAAAAGGACAAAAAAAAACATTTATCGCTAAAAAAAAGTTAATAATTTAATGTAATTTAGTTAAAAAAAAGAAGAAAAACAATAAAAAATACCCATTTTATAGTATTATTAATTTTTTGTTATGAGCAGAAAACAAATTCTAATCGCTAATATAACGCAAGCCAAGTTGCAACTCCGTTTTTTAAATTTTATAATACATAATAATAACATACATTACATAATATATTTTTTTAACATAATAACATTTCTGAGTGAAATTCCAATCAATAAGAAAAGACAATTTTTTTTCTTATAATACGCGCCAAAGGCTTTGTGTCAAGGTGGCAAACATTTACATGCCAATTTTTATTACCAAGTAAAAAAAAATTGTTTTTATAAAAATGTGATTTGAATTTTGAACATATTGCTACAATTTTTGTTTTAAATACGGACAAAATGCTGAATTATTTTACGAACAAATTAATAGAGTAAAGATAATAAAGCCATTAAAAACGAGTAAAACGGTATTGACCATATTTTGATTATCAAAAAAAAAAAATGCATGGTAAGATCTTTTAACAAGCTTTAAAAGATAAAAGTGTAAATTGTAATACACTAAAAAAATAAGTTATGTTATGATATATATTGAACCGTGAACATGATTGGATAATATTGTGCATAAACAGTAGCTTAAATTAAAAATAAATAATGACAAAACTTATTACTCTTGAATATTAACAAAATAACTTTGGAAAATGAAGAATATGAAATGTTTTTTTCACATAACAAATAATTTTATCGAACTAGTGCCTATTGCAGTTGTGGGAATGGCCAAAAGAAAAAAATGTAAGGGTGGCTCAGAGCTTGACAGTGCTAGTAAACACATTTTGAAACTACATTGATTTATAAAAAAAAAAAAAATATTTTACATGAAATACAATTAAGGCTGAAACTAGTAAAAATTGGCACAGCATTTGGTATAGAGATTAAACTAAATTTTTTTTTTATACAAAAGTAGTATAGGAAAGTTTTCAAGACTTATAGTTTTAAATAAAGAAAAAAATAAAACAGTTTATCATTTTAAATTGCTCAGCTACGTATACAAGTCTTACCGCCTATTGCTTAAAGATGAAAATATTCAAAATGAGTAAAACAAGTATTTTTGTTGTACTATCAACTTGTTAATAATCCAACAATATTGTTTTAAATACAAATAAATAGAAAAAAGGTTATTATTACACAAACAATAATGGCCATAATAATAATAAAATTTAAAAAAAATATAGACTTATAACTAATGCCACTTAGGCTTTTGTCAATACAATTAGTTTAACGAAAATTCAATTAAAAAAAAACTTAATAATATAATATAATAATCAATGATAGAGAAAAAAATACAAATGACGGCTAAACATTAGAAATTATTTGTTAATTAGAAAAAAAAAAAAAATTTGTTTGATGATGTTATGAGTGCTAATAAATACAAAAAAAAGTCAAAACGAAAAAAATTGTGCATGCTTTTTCGTACATTAAAACTATCACAAAATATCACAAATAAACATAACGCTTTATTAGATTTAAAAAAAATAAAGTAATAACTATCGTCATTTTTTTCTTTTGCACGCGAAATTTCAAAAAAGATATTTAAAAAATCGTTTACAAAGTAACAAGAGATAAACAAAAAAAGGTTAAAGAATAGTGTAAAAAAATAACATACAGATAAACGACTAAAATACAAATATTATTGTTCCTAAACAATAATGTGTGTGTGTGGGGGTGAGTGTGTTATAATCTTATTGCAAACAGATAATTCTTTAGTCTAATTCTTACACAACGTAAATTCATCGAGCAGTTGCTGTTAACTGTACACATAACAAAAGAGATAAAGTTACAAATTAAGGTGGTCGAATGCCATGACTTAGGTCATTTACTTTTACTTTAAATATGTGCGAGAAGAATTATAATAATCATTTGAGATCTAACATTATTAATATATTAATATTTCATCATTAATTTTCTTAAAAAAATACAATGTATTTTTTTTTATATAGAATGTATACATACATTATTCATGACTTGCCTCAAAACAAAATTGCTTTTGTATCTGAGATACTTCAATGTTTTTTTGGGGTATTTTAACAATCGAGAGAATTATTATTTATTTAATAGGTACTTTAGATTGTTGTTCGATATTTAAATGACTACCTGCCAATAAGTTACGCATGTGCTAAACAAGCTAAACATAGAGTACATAAATTACACAATGGTACACAATGAACAAAACCAAAAAAAACCGGTAGTTTGAAATTATTATGTAAATGGAAACAACGTAATAAATTATACGTAAATATATATGTACACATATATATGCGCCTACTAAACTTCCTCAATGGAACATTGAAAAACATCAAGAAGTGTTGGAAAGATAAATATTTATGGATACCGACTAGATTGAAAATAATAATGTTGAACTAAAGCTTATAAGTTTATAACTATGCCTGTTAAAGGTTCATAATTTAAAATAAAAATAGTAATAATAATAATTGGAGCAAAAGAAAAGGGCGAGCAATAAGATAGTGTTTCAGGCGTGGTGTGTATCGTTATTGCTTTTTGGCTCATCATTGCCATTACCGTGATTAGATTTTGTATCTTTTTGTTTGTATTTTCTGTTAAAAAAATATCCTTTGGACGACTTAGTGGATTTGATTTTTACGATATCGACGGTAGCAGGTGGCACCACTGCGTCCTCTTTGACCGCCACCGGAGAGTCCTTCTCTTCGGCTATCCTCGGCAAACTGTGATTGTCGGACGTCGCATATTTCACTTCTTCCGGCGAACACTTAACGTTGGCTACGACAATGTCAGTGTCAAGATGGCCATCGACTACATCCTGCCGTTCGTTTTTAACGCCTTGCTTTATAGTCTTGACAACGGACTGCGAGTCCACCGACAACGTTCTGCTGTTCACTGGCGGTGACTTGGACGTGACCGTCACTCTTGGAGCGTGCAAGGTCACCTTCAGGGCTGGATCGCACAGCGGCGATATCGATGTGGACTTGTTCTCGGCCATGCGCGGATGCAGGCGGTCTGGGGACAAGGCACGGCGCAACAACGGTGAACCGGGTTCAGAACTCTTAGGTCGGCCGAAGCTTTTCTTTCCGGACGTGGGTGTGGCTAACAGCGAAGACGGGCTGTACGACTGTGTAGTGTTGGAGCTGCCTGGTTGGTGGCCTGACGAAAACGTAAGCGGGCTAGGCGATCTGGTTGGCGACTGCGGCAGAGGTGATGGTGATGGTGTTCTGGCCAGCGGCGACAGTGGTATGTGCCCGACAGATTTGCGCCGGTTGGGGGAGTGCATGTTCTTTGTGGCCGAGTGCAGCTTGTGCTTGAGACCGTGCAGAGTTGACGGCCGTTGATAGGGCGTGGGCGAATTCGGCGTGACGATCGGAGAGTTTGAAGACGAGCTAGACGAACTGGTCGAAGAGTATTCAACCGCGGTGGGCAGTGCATTGGCTGCCTCAGCTTGAACGGCAGGCGCTCTATTTGCCAGAATTGTCAACTAAAGAGAAAAAACCATACAAATTATTTACATGTATGCAACTAAATGGCAAAAAGAACTAAAATAACTCTAGAGGAGTTTCAGTTAATTCAGGAAAAATTTAACAAACAATTCAGCCGACAACTTGGGCTTAAAAAAAAAAAACTAGACCCAATTGAATTTTTTTGGATTTAAATAACCCATCTAATAGAATACATTTTTAGGTAAATAAAAAACATTAGGAAAAAACCCAAATATTTTACATATTTTTAAACTTAAAATTACAGCACGCTAAAACTTCTTTAAAAATAGTCGAATTAGTTCCAAATTTAGATGGATTATTCTTTAGATAGTGCTAAGTACCGATAAATGTTAACAAACCAAACAAATAACATAACCCCTTTCCCCTAGTAGGGGTGAAACTTTTTTCTTTATTTCGCTTTTTTAGGTGATGTTTTAGGGATTAAGGTCTGAAGAATAGTCCGATAGTAGATCTAGAATAGGGCTATAACATATAAAATGTTCTCAAAAATCTGTAGTCAATTTTATGTTATGAAAAGTTTCACTACGCGAGTATGATCCACACCAGCAACATTCCCTTCCAAAATGGTCTTGTATAGTACCTGCTGATAGTCCGGAGTGCATTTTGTGCTGATCTTTCTGAACAACGAATTTTTGTGATGTCTTCGTCTGCTTTCGCCTGCCGGTATATCTTTCCTCTGAGAGCGTTTATGTCTATGGGAATGAACAAAACCCAACGCGCGGTGTCTGGAGTTTGAGGCTAATTTGCTTTTGCCAGGTTCACGCCTTCGTCCGCCGGTTTTTATCGAAGTAAATTCAAGAGGAGTGGAACGCAATGTAGCTTTATCGCCGCCAGACAAGAGCAACTGCAACACTTGAGTGTGGTTCATTCCTTGAACAGGTTCTCCGTTGACGTGGGTAATTAAATCGCCAGGACTTAAACCCGACTCGAAGGCAGGACTTCCGCTGTCTACCGCCTAATAAAAATAGAAATTATTATTATTTAAATAACAAAAAAAAACCAACAAAATTACCAAATTAAGTTTTAATTTGGGTTTAAAAAAGATTATTTTAAATTTAAGGAAGAATAAGATAAGAAACATAGTCATATAATCAATCTGGTCACGCCGTAAATTATTTAAGTAAAATATATACTCAATATTAATATGGGTTTTGACGTAATGTAAATATCATGTTATACTGTATAATATATACAGTATATTACATTATATACTGTATAATATATACAGTATATTACATTATATATATGTATACGAGGTGATCCATCTGATATAAACACTAATTTTCTCGAAAAATATGAATATTTTCAAAATAATTTTTTCATTTACTTGTACGCGTAAATACATAGTTTGGTATTTTTTTCAATATTTAGAAAATGTTTACTTTTATCCCTTATTTGTATAAGAAATATGGACTTAGTTTGTCAAATGCGAACATATGTTTTTAATTCCTTAGCTAAGTAATTATATATATTTATAAGAAGTATACTTCTTAAGTATTTGAATTCTACCGCGTTAGTTGATAGGTAGAGTACTGATGAAACAACATGTGATAGGAGAAGGTGACTAAGCTGGTTATAAAGTAACTATCAAGCTTAGAGCAATATTAAAAGTTAAAATAATTTGTTAAAATTAATTTGTAATCTATGAGAGACAATATTGTGATCAATAAACATTGAATGTTGTTTCTCATTTTTACAGGTTTGTAAATTATCTTATAAATAAGTTGTAAATAGCGTAAATAGCCTTATAATATAATAAACTCATTTTTACAGAGAAACGTTTCAGTATGTTGTTAAATTAATCTTGCCCCAGATTAACAATAAATAAATTACATATTTTATATTTATGTAGACAAAAAATGTATTTTAATAAACCATATTTACTTTAATAATACTTACAAAACTTTTACCATTTTAGTATAAGTAATAAGTATTGCGATATTTTCACAATAGTGTCTTTTTATAATAAATATATTTTACTATAACAAGTGTTCAATCTTATAATAATATATTAGATCTACACTTTTTAATAAATTATTTTAATGCGTGTTAGTTTCAACAACTTGATAACCAATATACACCAACTACACAACGTTATTTTTACTATAACTTGGTGAAGTAGTATGTTATGACGTAAATCATACTTTGGTAAACATCACTTGAGTTTGATACAACAGATTGTAAACAAAAAAGTATCTTGAAATAATATTTTTTCTAAACGTTTCTAAATACAATATTTGCCAACCACTTTACAATAAAAACACGTCACAATGTACGATAATTAGCACGTAGCACATATTTACTTACTGATACTAAGTGGTGCATGGTGTAGAAATCACTATCACCAAAGTAAACTCGAATAGTATTAACCGTAAAGCCAAAACCGGAAGGTCCTCTACGCAGAATGATCGGTGGTTTCAAACTGGTGATTAGTGGCACTTCTCGACATGGCGAATTCAAAGCGCTCGATGACCCTTGTGATATACCAATCCCACAATCTGTAAGAAAAGTATTGGTTATATTTTAAGTCATAAATATTGAATTTTTTTCTAGGTAGAAATACTTATCAACAATATCGTACCTGGAGGAATCATCAACGATAACCCTGTGGCTGAGAAACTTTTTATCACCGATCTCGTCCGTTGACCACTTCCAGAAGAACTTTTTGACGTACCCTGTGATGGTGGTAATGTCTGACACAAATTTGCAGTCACAGGTAAACTTAGAAACTCTTCTTTCTTCTCTTTAGGCGGTTCGTCAGATTCGTTTTCCGATAAACTTCTTAATTGACTAAACAATCAATATTTAATGGATTAAAAAAAAGGAGAATTTGCAAAACAATTATCTCTATTTATAGTAAATTACATTTATGTTAATCATAGCAGAGACAAAATTTTAACTATTATAACTTGCTATAAAACCATTTAACTATTAGTTTGCTATATTACGACGATAAAATTTTCAATTTGCTGTTTACCCTCTAAGAGTGTTCCTATTTATTAGATTCAAGAAAATTGATCGAGTATTCCATTTATAAAAAACAACAATTTAGCGAGATTAACAAATTACACAAAAAGATTAAGTTAAAAAGTGTTGTTAACTCGTTCAATTAGTTAAGACCAAATAAATTAACACATCATGTCAAATGTTGAGAGAGTGAAGTATAATAAAATTAATACAAACTATAAGATATCAATTTTTATGTAAGAAGATAAATTACTGTTTGAGAAAAAAATTGTAACTAAATATATCATTTGAATTTATATACTGATAAATAGTTTAAAAACTAAATGTTATAGTAGTCAACATTTCTATGAAACTAAACAGTTTCTGAACGTTTAAAATAAATCCAGACTGTGTGGTTTAAACACAGCATAATCAGAACCAGTGCCGCCAGGGTTATGATAATAGTACTCTATTGCTGTGCGTGCTTTAACCAATTATAATAAAACGATACTATAAAAAAATTATCTATTCTGACCTAAAACTAACTTATTGTATGTTACAATAGTACACTTTTTATGAATTTTGTTTTTAGATTTTAATGAATGTACACTTTTATTTTAACAAGAAAAATGGAAATGAAATATCTGAAAGTATAAGTTAACACTGTTTACTGTATTATTGTATTTTATCTATGTATTTATATACCTGTGTAATACACTAGGTATAATAAAATCTGTTTCGCAATGGTATTGCAAGTGCAAACATAAAATAAGTTTGAAATAAAAATTATAATTATGCTAAATTTAAGCTCTTGTGTTAGATCAAAGCGAAAACTGCTTTAACCCTTTCGTTACTGATATCCTCGTACGAGGATTTAACTTTAAAAAATCGAATAATATATTAACGTACTATCATTACCAAAAATGTCTTTAAACACAAGTTCTAGTATAGATTGATGATAAAAAAATCGACACAGCTATATAGATAATCAATATCAGTCTGATACGTAATTGTTGATTTTTTTTTTTTTTTTAATTCTCAGAAATGAAAGGGTTAAAATAGAAGCTAGAAAAGTACATACTAATAAGTGTTTAACTACTTACTCATATGAAGCACACATCAATGTGTAAAATACAATTTAAAATTTTTTACAGAAAATCAAAAAAATAGAAAGAAATTATTTTATTGTGCAATTGAAAAGTGAACTATTTATTATTATCCATGTGTAGTTGTGCTCAAAGTTACAATATCAAAAAATTATAATAGGCGATCAACGCACAAATTAACTTTGGTACAAAAAATTTGATTATCAAACCTGAACCAATCAATTTTTGGTATTATATAATATCCAATGTCTATGGAAGGAATTATAGGTACTTAAAAAGTGCCGTTATAAAATTATTATGACACTTCCAAACATTTTAACTTTAATAAATACTGCATGCATGAAACAATAATAAATCTTTGGTATAGTTTCGAAAAACATTTTAACATTGAAGTATATTCTTTGTCAAAACATTCAAAGCGATAAAAACTAAGTACGGATAAAGCAATAATAAATTATATAACACAAGAAAGGAAGAAGTAAATAAATAATAATAAAAAAAGAAGGCTAGTGTAATATTAATGGCTTACGGAGATCTGTCATCTTCAACTGAAATAGAGAATTTTGGTATACATTCTTTGCTGTATAAACGTCGCCTGCGATTTATTTGGGGTATACCATCATTACCATCACTGTGGGATAAGTCCAGTGTTGTTTTTTTGGCGACAGGCGATTTAAGACTTTCGTCTACTGTTTCTCCTTCTGAAGCCGATGTGTCACATACACCTTTATATAATAAAAACACAGCCGATTAGATTTTAAAATAGCAAACAGTTAATATATTATCACAACTGAATTTAAACTTAGTTACCAGTACTAGTCGACATGGAATCGTCTTTGTAATTGATTGAAGGCGACAGTGATTGATAATCATTGTTCATGGACAATTTACTAGTAACTTTTTTGAACTGAGGTGAACAAGAGGAAAAAGTGCCCAAGATTAACGAATCGTCATCAGTATCTTCATCGACTTCGTGGTTGTAACGATCGGTTCGAGCTGTAATTGTATGCCAAATATGTGAGCCAAACGTAATTCAATACCGTTATTGTTGTACAATAAAAAACTTACAATCAAAGTAACTTGTGTCCTCTTCGTCGCCCAATTGTGGCATAAACTCAGCTTTTTGTCTTAACAAAGAGTTCCAGTCGACCCCATAAAAATATGGGTGATCTTTTACTTCATGCGAACCGCCAGTACCCAGTCGATCCCTAGGATTTTGCTGTAATAATGCTGATATAATATTTTTTGCTTCTGGTTGAATAGGCCATTCGTTTTCGTCAGGCCATTCAATATCATCTGTCAATGGCAACAAGCTCCAAATTAATACTCAAGTTAAACGTTTATGTACAAAATAAGTGTTCTCACCATTTACAGTATGTGCGAACAGTTCTTCGGGTGTTTCACCAAAAAATGGAACACAACCAACTAAGAATTCATATAAAATAATTCCCATTGACCACCAATCAACAGGCTTCCCATAACCTTGTCTAAAAAACAATACAAATTGTTAAAAATAACATTTCAACTTGTTATTTCAATAAAACATCATACCTTAAAATTACTTCTGGCGCTATATACTCAGGTGTTCCAAAAACCTGTTTATCAGAAAACTGTCGAGTATCACGGTCTACGTGTACTTCGTACAAATTAGTTGCCACTGAAAACAAAATCAAATTAATTAATAGAAATTATGTATCTATTTAATAAAAAAGAGTATTTAATTCTCAATTAAAATTAATACTCACATGACATTAGACCCATTTTGCTTAAACCAAAATCTGTCAGTTTAATATGGCCCAAAGCCGTTATAAGAAGACTATACATATGAATATAAAAAAAAAAAATCAATAAATACACAATTTAATAAATTAATTTAACCTCCTATCAGTATTTACACCGCTTTCAAATTAGCTTGGGAAATTTTTTTTTCTCCTATTAAGTTGATATTCTATCTTTCAGAGAATAGCGAAAGTTACACCAGACTGATCTCACGAATTTAAATACAGTGTAACAATGTTCAGTAAAAGTGGTGAGACTACTAGGAGGTTCAAAGAAAAATATCAACGTACTTGTCAGGTTTAAGATCTCGGTGTACAATTCCATAGTTATGAAGATATTCAACGGCAAGTACAGTTTCGGCAAAATAAAATTTAGCCATATCTGAAGGTAATGGTCCGATGTTTTTTAAAAGAGAAGCACAATCTCCTCCTTCCACATATTCCATTACAAGACATAGATGTTTCTGTTAAGACATAGTTAAGTTAGTAACAACACATAAAATTGCTTATTCCACATTCGGTATTAATGCTCACCCTAGTTTCAAAACTACAATACATAGTAACTACAAATGGATTGTCGGTAAAGCTCATTATATCACGTTCGGCAAATACTTGTTCAATTTGATTACGTAACATTAGGTTATTTTTTATTATCTTTTTCATTGCAAACCTCTGACGAGTTTGTTTGTGTCTTACAAGATAGACAGCGCCGTAAGCGCCATTTGAGATCAATTTAATTACATCAAAATCCACTTCAGAAGGAGGCTAAAACAGATAATAAAAAAATATTATATTTTCCTTTTACCAATAAACCTAAATTAATTCTTACAGAAGAAAATGCATCTTTCTTAGTGGATTGTTGAGTTTTTTTCAATGAACACTCTTCTAATTTTTGGAAATTTACATCAATATCTATAACAATAAATTAATTTATCATTAAAATTGCGTATTACGAAAAACTAATGGCAAACACAACTATGACTTACCATCGACCGAGTTACGAGTTAAACCCAATTTCCCAATTATATACTGAGGTATTTCATCTTTGATACCCTGGCAAATTTTCGCTTGGCCTTCGGCTTGTTCTAATAACTGATAAAACTCTTCAGGATCAAATTCCAAACATTCCAGTAACCTAGCAGGCCTAGATATAATAAGTAGTAATTTTTTCATTGTTGCCGTTAACAACCCTGCTGCTTCTTCCGATTTCTCTTTTGCCTGTTTCAATGGATAAAATAAATTAATAAGTTGCTCAAGAGAGCACATACCCATATAACTAATAAATACCTCAGCTAACAATAATTCCAAATTTTCAGACATTTCATAAAAATAACCTCGCGTTATCAATTTTTCTTCAGATTTTTTCAAACAATCTCTAGCTAATTCTAAAACTTGACGGTTAACAAACCGAACAATAGGTATAGCATCGCCTGATATGTCCAAGTATTCCAAACTAAGTTTTTCGTATTCTTGGATAAACATTTTCAAACGTTCCTCCATCTGTTTTGTAGCCTGCACGGATTATAAAAAACGATTAAAATTTAAGTATCAATAAGAAATCTTTTTAAACCAGAAATGTCAAGAAAAATAGTTACTTTAGGAAATCTGTCTTTGTAAAGGACGTTCATCATGATAATATCGTTATCCACAATTGGAGACCTGCTAGGACTGCTGCAACAAAGACGACAATGTATTAGAAATGGTACTTCGATTCAAACACGAATCAATATTTAACCTTAAGCTCCTCGAACGCGGTCGGTTGAAACGGGATTTTCTGTATATTATATTATCTTCCTCTGCACTGTGACTGTGAGTGCTGTCATTGGACGAAAAATGTTTAGAAAACATGTTCAACTCGTCCGAGGTCGGCATGTTGGGAAGCTGATGCAAACGTTCTTGGCTGGAACACTGGGACTGCAAATCAATATTATCTGTACTGAAAATCGTTCCACAACTTTGGGTCGCTTTTACGCTTACTGAAACATTAGAGCTTCCAGATGTGGTTCCATAACCGGACGACGGCAGTGATGCAACGGACCATCTTCTTCCATCGCGGCAATCTGTTGTTAGTAAATTGTACGGCCTAAAAAGTACACGTGCGTACAGTTTCGTTTCGTATTGTTATTTACTACTTATTATAGTTGATTAAAGTCCCCCGCCCCCTGACTACCTCAAAAAGAGAAAGAAATAAACTAAATATCCCACTACTCGAATAGTTAGTAGTTTTTTACAACTGCTGTGCAAAAATCAATTAAAAACAAAACATTTTTTTTAATAAATCGTCAATACCTTTTAATTGAAACAAATGGAAAATGGGGATGCGAATGAGTTACTTTTGGACTTTCCAGCGGACTGCCTGTTGATTGTAACAAAAGAAAAACGACAATGTAATTAATAATCAAACGTCATCAGTGATTTTTACGTTTATAAATACTTGACATGGGGGAATGACATCTAGGCAAAATGGGTGATGTGTTTGATATAAAGCTTTTACGGTGACTATTTTTGTTTGAACGCCTTCCACACCCTACCGCAACGTGTAGCTCTCTCTAAAATACACCAAAACATCATAAATTAATCACATTCGACCCTTCGGCGTTGCGCTGACACGGTCAACAAACAAAATATATATAGCTTACCAAACTAGTCGATAACGAAGGAGCGGACTGCCCTAAAGTACGGTTGCGCATCAACACCAAATTAGACAGTTCTGGAAACAAAAACAAATTCAGCATTGTTAATTATTTTAAATAAGAAAAAAACCCTTTTTATATTCTTAATTAAAAATGAAAAATATTTTATTTTTAAATCAAACGTTCGGTATAAGTGTACATTTGTGCTTGACTAGAGCACAGTACACAATGCACTCTGGTTAAGCCCTTACGGCTAACGACAGTATTTAAATAATAATAAATTATTATTTGGTAACGTGCAGGTTCACACGAGACAAAATTATTCAAACGAGTCGTGCTTAAGAATAATTATTAAGAGCAATTCGTGATTAATACTAGGAGGGTCGTGTTAACTAATCAAAAGACACACACTTATACAGTCGTTCTATAGACACAAGCAGCACACATATTGGATACATTTTCATTGGCGTAGCGATACTCATATATATATTTTTTTTTTCATTAATTATTATTTATTGCAATTCAGATTAATTCGTTCGCTATCGATAGAAGCGTACTAGAAATAGCTGTTTAATTCTTTAAATAAATAAAGATAAACTATAATTAGCTCACGCATACACACACTTGTCATGTGCAACTCGTCGAGTATATTGCAAGAGAGCTCCGTCGTTCGATGTTATCTTTTTCGATGAGTCTGCGAGCACTCCAAGATCCTTTACTATTAAAACTGTACCTAATAAAATTTTTGTCTTTTTTTTTACCACTATAAATCGCCAAAAATAAAAAAATATTAACCAAAACAAAAATTAAAATAAAAAAGAGAAATCGTTTTTTATCTGACCATAATGCGTGTATGCGAGTATTACACTTACAATATAGAGGTGCTGTGCATTAGGTGTAGCGCCTAATTATTATTGTATAAAATTGTGTATTACACTCAGGGCGCTACTAGAAGTGTGATTAAGCGAAGAAGAAATGTGGCCTAAGTAAAAATAATAACATATAATAGGTTGAGTTAGGTCACCGGTATTTTGTGCCGGTTTAGGTTGTTGGGCGAATAGTTTTGACGCTTTTCTCTAAAACAAGACTATAACTAACTATCCACTAGCAGGTGAAAACTACTACTTTCTAAAATAATAATAATAATAGGTACCCTATAATACTAATACTCGTTATTATCGTTATTATTATTATTCAACGAATGGTTATCTAACGATCTACAGTTGACAAAAAAAATCTGGTCGACCTTGCCGTTTTCTTACCGGATTCATTCAATAACAAAATGTAATACAGTATAATTTAATTTTTATTTTTGCATAAATTAACCAACAAATTAGAGAAAGCGGCACACTTGGTTACAAGTCGAAATAATACACTAACTAATCGTTATCGAATTTAAGGGGACAAACTTAACACACGTGAATGAGCCGTCGCGGTTGTGGTTTACGCGTGACATAGCACTTAACATTTGCAACATTAAATAATATCTTCTCGATTATTATTTATTCTATGTATTATTAATTATAATGTTTACTCTTCGCGTGCGTGAAAGATATAAAAGCATTAACGAACAACAGTCCGTTCGGAGGTGAATCTACTAAATAAATACCTATAGAAAAAAAAGATGACTTTATTAATTGCATTTGGATCAGAAGGGTTTTTCGTTAAGCCCACACTATAATAAAGTAACAATTAATAACCCATTTTCAATTTTGCTGAACCTTCTCTAATTTAATCATATCCTTATATTAAATTATAATATTTGAATATTGGACTTATTTCAAGTACTCTTAATCGTTTTATTAATTTTTGTAATGTGTTGCTCCGGGTTCCCTAACCAGGGAGTTTTTGGAGCCTATCTCCTTATTTATGCCGGAAGCATAATGGGCTGCTATAGTTTTATCATACATTTTATTCGCGTTAAAAACATTGTTCTCGTCCCTATTGAAAACTTGAAACGAGGTCACTGGACGAAAATACTATTTATTATTATAATAATATCCACCGCAATAAGCTTTGTAGTCTCAGATTTAACGTGACAACACTGTAAAATGGTGCTCGTGACACGCATTAATAATTCAATAAATAATGGATGCACTTTTTATTTTATTCTCATTATTACATTTATCACTATCATACACAATACATCCGATGGTCGATAGCTACGTTGTGTGTAGGCGGTACTGGTTTTCCAGATCGATAACTCATATAACCTAAATGTGGAAATGGTAAATTTCTTGATCAAGACATGCGCGTATACCGTTTTTACCGCACTAGCAACAAAGCTGTAAAGTACAAACGCCCACAACACACACGAGGGTGAGTTCGTAAAAGCTCTTAAAAGCACGAGACAATTACACATTAATCGTGACCAATCCGAAAATTTAATATTGTTATAACTTAAAAATGTATGTATATATAATCAAAGTGAAATAATTGTACACATCATTTTTGGTGATTGTGCCAGTTGTTGAACTTTATTATGTAAATAGGTAGGAATAATAGATCGACTAATTTTATAATATGTAAATTTTGAAGGAAAGGTTTTAATAAGGTTCTTAATAACCTCCACTTGTATGTTATACAAATTAATAACATATCACATTTTAGCGTTACTTTGATAAGAATACAAGATATAATTCGTTAAATTACACGAGCTTAGAATTATTCAACAATATTTTTACAACAATAGGAGCAGTCGCCCCTATTGCCCGAGTCCGTCTTTGATCCGCACACACAAACACAGAGATCAATCAATTATAATTGATGAGCGTAATAGAACTCATATTTATTCAACAGGCATTCATTGTTTACTTGTCGTTAACCAAGAACACCGAAGGCCGCGGTATTGTAGGGGTCGAGATCAGTAAAATATACAATGATAAAATGTAATTAAATTAGTCAAGCGCAGTTTTAAATGCCGTGTGAAATCGCCGCTAAGGTGAAATCGTGAGGCGAGTTTAGAGCGTGGGAGATAAGTAAATAAAATTAAAAAACCTATTGTTGTCACTACGGTAATGTTAATATTGACGAGACGAAAACTTATATATATATATATATATATACATGTATTTTTTTTTTTTTTTTAATTTTACAACTCGGTCGAATGCTCCTGGTGGTGTTAATAAATATTGTTACTCGACCGGTATTATAAGGCACGGGAGCTGAATTTTAAGTCATGGCTTAACGCGCCAAGAGCAGGGGGAAAGCGAGAGGAAGGGAAGGTAATGGAATAGAGGAGAGGGATACTGACAAAGCGTTAGACGCCAATCTGATCTAATCTAACACGAATGATACGATATTATTTTTGAAATGTTATTAGCTATTACTATTTTGAACAAAATGACCTTCACAGCAGTATTTCATATTACTAAGTACGGGTACGCACCTTTGACTTGACCGCGTTTATCCGTCTTTTCGTAAGCCGACCACTGCGGCAAACGCACATAGCACATCCTGTTGAATATTATACTAAGCAAAAGAAGAAGTAAACAATTCAATTTCAACACTGGACATACAATGTGGTACTGTACACGATATACACACGATTGTACCGTCACTCTACTGGAATGTTTGTAGGTTATAATAAAATCGCTTATAATAATAAATTATCATGAATTAAGATGGACGACCAGTCAAAGCAAGACTGACAATGGCATAACGAGGGACTTTATTTGAAGAGTTGTTGAATATGAACGGCCCGCGACGAGTAATGCAGCGAATCCATTTGTTATACCGGCGAGACACAGATAACAAAAATAATATTACTTGATTTGACAATACGTATTGCATATAGTACACCGTTCACGGTACAGACGTGTGCGCTTAGAGTGTGCCATTGAATTAGTCACATGATATTTTGTTCAAAAGCGGCCAGTCAGATAAAAAAAAATGTTAAGTAGTCATAAGCGTTTGTCAAGGTGGGCCAGGTACATGCCCAAAGGGAATATCATTATAAAAAAAGTTTATACTTATTTTTTTGGCCAAACGAAAATCTTATAATAAGGGTTTTGGTACTTAGGCCCAAAGCACAATGTCCTTTAAAAGACGAATTCATAAATAAAGTAACAATTGAATTATTATTTAATTATAATATTATAAATGAAGACCAACTAATATTTACCTAAAACAAAGCAAAGGCTTTTTCCCATAACTGAACAAAACGATATATTTGTTTAAACAAATTACAAGGCTAGGATTTAAACATTTTACAAGAACTGGTTTGTTGTACCTAGCTTAGTTTTCTTGGGTATGGCTTGAGAGCACTAATACTAACTCGACTCTTTCTTTAAAAGAGTAAAATTCATAAAAAAAAAATTAAACCTCATATTAACCAATCAAACCTAAGTCCTAACCAACAGGTTAGGTATTGTATTTACTTGTATGATAAAGTAAGTAATAGTTTATATTAGTTGAATACTTTATAAACGTTCAGTGTTAAATATGTTTTAAGTTATAAATGGTACAAAAAATACCTGTTTTAATTGTTGCCTTGGAAATTTAAGCTAAATTAGGATATACTTAAGACACTTATTTCAAATATTGGTTTATTACCTCTACGTGAAAACTTAACCAGTTAAGGCAGTCAATGCAAAAACATATATGAAATTATTATTGCACGAATAAAATATAATAATGCATTTTATAGAACAAGTGTCATTAAAACTAATATCATTGAGTACACTCATATTGATATAATCAATGCTAATTTACATTATAATAGCATTAAAAAAAAATAAGATTTTAATTAAACGCATTAATTATAATTGAATATAATAGCGTTTAAGAAAGCGATTAAACATGTACACACGAGAAATCTCATTAATATACATTTCCAGAGCTAAGTGTACTGCTAAGATAGTCTTGCAAGTCCCAGTAGTAATCGATGTACTTTGGTTTTTATCACAAAAACTCTTGTTGTACAGCGTAATTATTACCTTAAACAAAATATCTATTTTTCGTACATTTGTATACAATTCTCTATTTGTAACTACTTTCGAGTAATAATTATTAAGTAACCCAAGGTAACTCTCGGAAGGTAGTACCCCCTTAAACATCCCCTCTGCTTTTAAACGAA